AATGATTCCAGGTTTGTCAAATGAACACAAATATATATATTTCCCAAAACCATAACATCAGTTCAAAATTTGGTGACAACGAAATGCTTTTCCAAGCAAAATCACTAAAAATAAATATTTTTCTTTTTCCTTTTGGATTACAAAAAAAATATTTTTATGAGAAAAGCAAAATTTGCATGTTTTGTTCGAAGGATGAGACAAAAAACTTTTATGCCATAGAAGAAATATGCTGACACATTCATTGATCAAGGATACCTTTTGGTGTGGTCACGAGTCTCATCCCTGTTTGAACAGAACCATTGAACTCAAATTTTCAATTTTCCTGGCCTGCTCTTTACTCTCTTTTCCCATTCAGCTTGAGCTTTCTTCTCCTCTTCCAACTCCAAAGCTATTCTTTCCCTCTCCAGTTCAGTCTATCCAAAAAGGAATTTTACCTTACAGAACAAACAAAAGCCCTTTGGAAAGATTAATCAAAGAAATTTTCATACCTGTAATAATGTATTTCGAAGGCTCAGAACCTCAGCTTCCAAATGCTCAGAATGAGAACCCTGATGAAGACCAAAAATATTATTTAATAGTTAACACTTCTTAAAGCAAACTTTTCCATTCATCCATATAAGCAAGACGGCAAAGTCCGCAGAAAATTATGTCAACCTGCAATTTTGCTCGCAGCTCTTCAATCTCTTTCTTTTGACGTTTCAACAGTGCCGCATCTGTCAAAATCTGATGGGAAAGGGGAGGAATAAGCTTCACTAAAAGAAAATGCACCTCAATGTAAATGTGAAGTAGTTGTAAATCACACAAAAGACAAAAAGCAGAACTGAACAACATTAGATATTTAGGACACCTTTGCATCAATAATTGAAACCACCACTTGAAAGTGAAAATGCGAATTGAAAAAGAAACACGAAAAATGTATCAGAAGAAACCTCATTGACTTGGGCACAGTTTGTGACACGTAATGCCCTGCTAGCAAATTGGAGACTGCTTTTAGTCTCATCTGAATGTATCTGCCACAAATAAAGTATTCTTAACTAGATAAAACATAAAAAATAGGAAAAAACAAAATTTCAGCTCAGACTTGAGGCAACAGATGCAAGAGAATCAAACAATGCATCCGAAAAGAAATCAATCTTATGGGAACAATGACGACTTAGAAAGCTTCAAAATCTAGACATAATTTAGTACAAAGTATTCTAAAAATAGTTATATTTTCACATTCACATGGACAATTTAAAAGGGGGGGATCTCAGTTAAAATTGTGCGACAGAGAGGCTTCTTACCTGAGCAAGAGTTATATTACATATCATAGCTGTATTAGCATTTCCCCCCAGTGCAGGTTGTAGGATTCGTGTAAGCTTGCTATCTCGATAAGGAACATGACCACTGCAATACACATTAGATTCGTCTTTTCATTTTCTACGGGAAATGTGAATAGCTTGATTATAATTCAAACTTACCCTTGGCTCTCAGCACCTTCACTTAATTTTTTAATCACAGTTCCCAAAGTCATTAAGCTTTTGTTTATGTGGGAACCCTCTTTGAGACGCACACCTTCAGCTCCAGTTTTTGCGGCACGTTCTGAACCAGCAAGATCCACTAAATTCTAGAAATGAAGAAAATAATCATCAAGAAGATTCATTTTCTAAAGGGAAGGAAGATAGACAAACGGACTAAAATGCATAAAAAGAGAAAAGGAGAGAGACATACCAACACTGACACACGGACAGCATCACAACAATTGCCATTTTCTTCACATTCACTTCTATCACGACTCTCAATAATCTGGTCAACCGAAGATATAAAAGCATGAGAACGAATGTAAGCTCTTATGTCCAGAAAAAAAGACAAATCAGAAGGAATATATTGCTCACCATGCGAAAAATAGTATGCGACCTACTACTGTATAAATTCATATTTGTCTCTCCAATATGTCTATGAGCTGAATACCAAGGAAAGAACATTAGGATTGAATGATTAAGGGGGTTTTAAAGAATGTTTTTATGAAAACTGCAAAATTTGCATTACATTCTCCAAACTCCACGAGGTCAAGGACTTGCTCAGAAGAGGCAACAATTTCTTCACGCAACCCAGCAACATATATTCCACGCTGATAGTTTAGACCAAAACAGTGATATAAATATCACAACAAACTTAATATTCATGTATAAGAGAATCAATAATCATAAGAAGGGGGGAAAACCTCTAGATTCTCATGAATCTGCAATTTTCTATGTTCAGGAACCAATAAATCATTTATCTCCTCATTATAGATTTCCATGTATGACATTCGAAGAAGGAACTCTCGATCAACATCCTAAAATAAATGAAAAAGGGTAAATGTATCACGAAACATACAAGATACCCCAAATAAAACAGTGCAAGTAGGCTTAATTAAATTGGAGTTCCGAGGAAACACGATTAACATCTCCAACTCAAAAACAACTCAATCAACAGCATGCTGATGGTTATTACCTGTTGAATAATCTCAAACAAGTCATGCACCGCAAGAGGGATGACCCCCGGTTCTGTTCGCGAGCCCCTCATTGTATGGGTTTTCCCACTATTAGTTTGTCCGTAAGCAAAAACCGTTCCTTAGATTCACAAAAAATAAAAAGAAAATCAAGTAAGCAGAATATATATGCAATCATGAAAACACCAAAATAGGAGAGATGCATTCATGGACTAGATGATAAAACACACCCATAAGCTTGACATCACATTTTTACACGACTTTAAGCATTAGATTAGTAAGCCAACCCATTCATAGAGTCAAGTAATTCACTTTCAACGAGGGACTTGCTAGACCAGCGATGAAGTTCAAAATATGCACACTGGTTCAGTTTTGAAGCATACTTGGCTGCTAGAGTATGATCATTACTGCGTATAGATTGAGTGAGTGAAAGCTAGATGGATTAATTCATTTGGAAGCAGAAGCAGAAGAGCTCATCTTTTGAAGACATAGAGAAGATGCCGCAAATTTTGTGATTATGCTTATAGAGAATATTTATGTCTAGAGGAAAAATATCAGCTTCAAACGCTTTAACAAAACAATCATCAACGTTAATCTTTGAAAAACCAGTAGGAGGAGCTTGATATAATTTTAAATCATGAAATGGCAAATTAAAGTGGGTTCTTCAGAATCAACAGGCCAACCATTAACACTCACATAATCCATTTCAAAGGCAAAAGCATCATGAACAATAACATGGTTAGGATCCAATGCACTCCCTTCAAGAATGAATTTATTTCCAGAATTCCAGATACACCAACAAATTGAAGTCACCAAACCTGTGCTTCTGCTGTGAAAAACTTCATGTGATCTGAAATACACCACATATATAGAATAGAGGAATTTATGTGTTTACGCATGAAGACATGCATCTATGCTAGTCTAGCTTGTGATAAGTTTTACTCCACTATGGACAACAAAACCTAGTGAGTGTGAAGACAGTCCTGGCCTCTCGAATTCTTCTCTTGAGACCAAAGATTATCTTACAATTCAATAATCAACAAATTTACGGAAGAACGAGGTATGCAATAAATATAAATAATAGTAGTAATATATAAATTACTTTTTTGTGTGTAAATTAAGAATACCATTGAACCCACGAACAGCAGCGGCAACTATGTCCTTGGTGCAAGCTTGATATACTTGAAATGTGTTACAATCTTCGCGGAAAATTTGATCTGCGAAGCGTAATATGTTAGAAAGAAAAAAGAAAAACACAAATAAAAGTAACAGAGTGAACATTCAGTGGTGAAGGAAGAAAGAGGGTATACCGAATTCAAACTTGGTGGAGTGGTTAGGGATGAAGATGGAATTGCCGGAGATTCTCCAAGGGCTGGTCTTAGCATCCTCAGAGGATAGGGGCCTTGGCCGGACGGCGACGTGTATTCTCTCCATGAAAAGATGGGTTGGAAAGAACAGTACCCGCAATAGTCAGATATCGTTGATGCGCCGCCGGACGAGAAAGAGAGAGCCGTTGGTCCTCCCAGGTCACAGTTCAAATCTTTTCCCGCCTATCATGCCCCGTGCTAATGTGCTTGAGCTAGACGCGGTTGGCTTCCTGTTTGGATTAAATTTTATTTATATATATTTCTTTGCCGCGTCACTGAGCTAACAATCATCATCATCATGAGACTATTAATAATCAATATGTTCCGTGACTTTTATTTATAAAGTAGAGAGAGACTTTTAACATGAATATATAATTTTACTCTTGTTATGAATGTTATAATATATAGATGTTCATCTCCTCTTCTTCTTCTTCCTCTTCCTCTTCCTCTCAACTTCATCATCAACTCCCACTACTTTCACTAGGCATTAATCTTCCACTACTCCATTACCTTTCCACTATGCCTTTAATCTTGTAACTCCCCCCACTCATATTCATGTGGTTTATTGTCCACTATCTATCATTTAAGTACAAATGTAACTTATGTGTAAGACTATATCTATAAATAAGGCATGCTATTGTATTGTGATATAAGTGAAGCAAGTGAAGGAATACAATATCACTCTCCTATTTTCTTGTCTACTTCTCTTCTCCAATTTACTCTCATTGTTGGTTAATTTCATAACACGTTATCAACACGAGACTCTACTATCTGAGTTCATGGCTTCCAGATGATACACGTGAATGTTTTGTTCGTTGAATGAAGATAGTTTGATCCGAATAGTTTGGTAAGATTTCTCCAATTTATTTAGAGGAAATGATGGTTTTGCATCTTAATTATATTGATTCATTGGCAACCGAATATTTTATTCATCATATTGAGATGTGAAAATTTTTATTGTTATTTCTTATTTTTCTTACATTTTCATGATCCTACTATCCTTATATTTCTTGATTTGCTATGAGGTTTATGTTTATCTATAAAATTACTATATATGATTATCATCTCTGATATTGGTTAATTGTTGTCTTAGAAAGTAAAATGTTAAACTTATAAATAAATGACTAATAGCCATTGTACTCTTAATTTTGTGATTAGATGGCTAGAAGCCACATCACGTTTTGATGATTATTTGATAAAAGACCATCTTATGGTAGTAACAGATGGCATGGCAAGATTGTGATAATTTGATAATCTATATCAAAGTCCTGAAGATTGATGGTTTAAAAATTAAATGATACAAAAAAATTTCGTAGTTCTAAAAATTTTATTATAGTCTGGAAGACTAATATATGAGAAAATTGATGGTGTGCTATTGAAAGCAAAGAATATATCTATAAGAGTGATAAAGAATATGATCATATTGCATCAGTGGAAGTGTGGAACTGATAACTAAAAGAACAATAATCTTGGAACTTGACTATTAAATCATAACAGAAAAATTAGTAATAGCCCTATGATCAATATGATAAAATTATGAACAAATATTATAATATGACCAGAAGTCATATAGACAAATATGTATCAATTCATTGAAAAGAAAATGTTAAGAAAAAAAATGGTTGTAAAATCAAAAAAACCATGTGATATTATCAAAATATCGAAGGTAATTCTAATGCCTGAAGGCAGTAAGTTGTGAAGAAAGATAGATGCCCAAAATATATATAAAAATAGAAAACATATAAGTATATGCCTAAAAGGCTATGTGTATAATGTTTAATTTTTATCGGTCTTTAAATTTATTGTGATTTGTGAGAAACAAATGTTATAAGAATTTGATATTATGATATTAATAAGTGTATGATATAAAACTAAATAGATCAAATAGACCCAAAAGTTACTAGTTATATTTTGTTTATTTATATCTTATTTATATGATTTGATTCAATATTAGTTTTGAATATTTTAAATATCTATAATACCTTGATCAATATTGAGAAGTTTTGAATGTTAAGTATTATTTGTACTTTATTTTTAAAAGTTCATTTTAAATGTTCTTCATCATTTTTGTGTGTTCTCTATGTGTCTTGCAAGTTAAATATGTGATATTCATAATTATTTGTTATTATGTTAATAATATATTGAAATAGAGTTATCTTTCATATTCCTCTTAAATTATATAGTTCTTGAAGAATTAGATGCAATAGTATTAATATAGTTCTAGAAGAACTAATGCTGTTTTTTTTATGAGTAGACAAAGTATATATAAATTATGAAGTACTTGGGCTTCCAAGCAAAAGATAGGTTATTAACCTTGACCCATCATATACTCATAATTGTTTATAAAATATATGAATAAAAGAATCATGTTTAAATGACTCAATCTTAAGAGGAGACTATTGGAATACAAGTATGAGTTGATATTGGATATATTTTTTATAAATGGATATCATCAATCATATATTATATTGAAAAATTTATTGTTGGTAACAAAACATGGTACAGTAAACCAGAAGTTTACTGATATAATTGGATTCATTGTTGGCATGACTTGTTTGATCATCTTAAACTATATGATGCAACAAATTATTGAAGATTATGTATTGATATTCACTAAAGAACCAGAAGATTCTTCCGAATAGCCAACATTTTTAAGAACTCGTATGTGCTGCTTGTTCTCAAAGAAAATTGATTATAAAATATCACTAGTTATGCTTTGTTTTCGAATGGATCACTACATTTTTGGAAATATATATGAGCCCATTTAGAAGCACATAAGTCATACAAGTATTCAATATTTGATAGATGCATCTATATAAAATGGTAAGATGTGTGATTGATATTAATTTACAACCTGAAGTTTGTAAGATTATTTAGATAAATATTTCCAGACTACGTAATTCTCAAAACTTGATATTAAAGATACTAGTGAATTTATATATCAGGCTTTTAATGTTGAAAAGCCTGCTTAACAAATTGATCTAGCAAAGTCATTTGTTAATGCCTCCGTGAATAGCTTGATCAATATTTATGAGAACAAATTTTTCCATTTTAGTGTTGGCATGTTTGACTTAATATATTGCAACACTTATAGACATCAAGGTAACAAAATTCTCCCAATAAAATTGGCTTTTGGTTAGGAGCCAGATATTTTTCATTTAAAAAAATTGAAACATGCAATATTTATTCCTACCAATCCACCACAATGCATATAGATGGATATTAAAAGAAAGTTGGGACATATGTTGGGTAAGAACCTCCTTCTTCTTGTTTGTCTCTAAATGGAACAAAACAATGTTCCTAAAAGAAACAAATGGATTTAGGAGACTTATACTGCATAATTAGTTGACTATTATTTGACAAAATTTTTCTAACATGAGGGGGAGAAATTGAGTAGCTGGAAAAGAGAATGCATAGAATGCATTATTACTATCAAATGCAGATCCTCATATATATCACGATGGACTGGAAGTTCATCAAAATTGCATTCATGAAATGCTATAAAATATTTTACTGACCTGAATGAAAATTTTTAAATCTCTTATTCCAGCTGAAAATGCTCCAGTTATTATAAATAAAAATAAGACATGCCATAAGCATGAGAGGTTAATCGGTTCCAATATAAATATCTTGAATAAAGAGGAGCATACAACTTAGAAGTTGCATTGAGGAGGCATGTACTCTAGAAGAGTGTTAAGACATAACTAATTGTAAAACCCCAGAAGAGGTTCAGGTACCTGAAAAGGAAGAAAGAGATCTCAACAAGTTATGTCACAAAAGGAAAAATGGAACCGAAAAGGTAAAGTTGTCGACAATGATTTTTATAAGAATATCGCGTGATAAAAAGAGGATCTTACACATCGATCTATCATACAAAGTAGATATAAATTTGGCCAAGAAGAAAAGGAAAAGGACATGATGAAAATATCATTTCAATATGTGAAAATGAGCCTGCAGTCCCAACACATGAAATATAAAGTTTCTGTAAATATGGACGTTTATGTGAAAATATAGATCTTCACAAATGATTATGATGAGACATATTACTTTGTAGTGGATATAATTTTACATATTTGAATAGTCTGGCATTATGAAATATGCCTGTTAGATGACCCATGGATGAGGAGGATCATTAAATAGTAAAATTTACATGATAATCCTTGAAGGATCCAAAATATGCCAGGAGCATATATAAGAAAATCTTTCAGTATATAAAATAATATAAAGATTAAAATAATTTCAGTATAAATGATCCATTTTATAGTTTTGAATCAAAATATATGAAATTCCCTGAAGAATTTCACTTGCCAGAAACATACAATTCAAGTTCTTGAGCACAGTGATTAAGTTAAATAAGTTGCCAGAAGCAATCAGGGCGTATATGGTATAACCGACTAAGTAAATATCGGTTGAAGAAATTATATAAAAATGATCTAATTTGCCCATGCATTTTTATGAAAAGATCTGAAAATGAGTTTGCTATGATTGTTGTTTATGTTGATGACATATATATTATTAGAACTCCTGAAGAGCTTACAAAAGTTATGGATTGCTTAAAGAAAGAATTTGACATGAAAGACTTGGGAAGAACAAAGTTTTGCTTCGGATTGTAAATACTTGAGAAATGGAGATTTTTTTTTGTATCAAATAATTGATACAAGAAATGCCTTAAAGTGTTTTTATATGGATAAATCACATCCATTATATACTTTGATGGTTGTAAGATTTGTGGAGGTGAATAAAGAACCTTATATATTTTGAGAAGGTGATGAAGAACTACTTGGTCCAAATGTACCAAATCATAGGTCCAGAAGTACCATATCATATCTTATCACTCATGCGTGACGTCACATATCATTTGCTGTTAACTTACTGATAAGATATAGTTTTTCACCAAAGACACTAGAATAGAATTCTAGATTCTTTTCTAATTCACATACTGGTAATTCCAAATAGAGTATTTATCTCACAATATCCAAAAGATGGTGAAATATATATCTAGCAAATTTGTTCAAATAAAAATCTAGCAGATTTGTTCACCAGGTCGCTTCCTATTACAATATTTGAAAAGTTTGTTATGATATCGGATGTCACAGACTCAAGGATATCAATTGATATTATCAAGAGGGGGAGTTAATACATACTGTACTTTTTTTCCCTTGTCTATGGTTTTTTTCCCACTGGGTTTTCCTAACAAGGTTTTTAACGAGGCAGCATCAAATAGTGTATCAGTGAATGTGTACTCTTTTTTTTCTACTAGGTTTTTATCCCATAGGGTTTTCCCTAATTGAAGTTTTTTAATAAAGCACATATCTTATATAATGGACATCCAAGGGGGAGTGTTATGAATATTATAACATGTGGATGTCCATCTCCTCTTCTTCCTCTTCCTCTCCCTCTCAACTTCATCATCAACTCCCACTACTTCCACTAGGCATTAATCTTCCACTACTCCATTACCTTTCCACTATGCCTTTAATCTTGTAACTCCCCCCACTCATATTCATGTTGTTCATTGTCCACTATCTATCATTTAAGTACAAATGTAACTTATGTGTAAGACTATGCCTATAAATAAGGCATGCTATTGTATTGTGATGCAAGTGAAGCAAGTGAAGGAATACAATATCATTTTCCTATTTTCTTGTCTACTTCTCTTCTCCAATTTACTCTCATTGTTGGTTAATTTCATAACAACTCTTTATTTATTATTATGTTGATTTTATTTTTATAGAATATAATATATATATATTAAATAGAGATAAAATTAGAGAGTTATTGAATTTTAAATGAGAGTTATTAAAATTTAAGATTTTTCTTAATTTGTATAAAATATGTTGAAAATGACTTATAAATAGGATCAAAAGAGTATGTTCAATAACATTATTTTATTAAGTTTTTTATTTCTGTTATTGAAATAATTATCAATTTATTTGTAAATTTGTGCAATTAAAAAATTATATAAACTATTTATAAAATTTAATTTAATTTTCTGATTCAGAATTATTGTTTTAGTCGAAATAAAATTACCGTGACAATGCAATCACGAGAAGCTCAGGAGTCGGCAGTAATAGGCGCCAAGCATGCATAAGTATTCCCATTCCATTCCTTGCCATAGGTATTCTTGCAAACCAAACAAGGCATCATGATTTGACTGGAATGCCACTGTGTGAGGTTCACTCTATTAATTACTTCATTAATTATAATTAAAGGAAAAATTGCAATTAGGTCCCATCCAGGTGAATTAAATACAAAAAAGTCTCTTGAAATTATTAAATTATTCTGAAGTTCTAAGAGACCTTTTTGCAATAAATTTTATTTGTTTAATTACCAAATTATCTTTTTTTTTAAGTTTGCATTGACAACTGAAAGAGCAATAGTTGATAATTTAGGGTGCAAGAATTGACAACTATCGCGGCTGGTTTAACAACACATTTTTTCAGCATATCACAAAATATAACGCATGAGTTGTCATACCAGCCGCGATAGTTCTCAATCTTTATATCCTAAGTTGTCAATCACTGCTCTTTCAGTCATTAACACAAACTTAAAAAAAAAAAAGTAACTTGGTAATTAAATAAATAAAATTTATTGCAAAAAGGTCTATTAGAATTTCATAATTTCAAGGAATTTTTTGTATTTAATTCTCTTGGATGAGACCTAATTGCAATTTTTCCTATAATTTGTATCAACCATCAATTATCAATCAATTAATTTATTACAAATACGCCAAAAGCAAATTTAAGCTTCAATTGGGCTTACAGGCCCAATTAGCTAAGACAACTCATGCTCGTTTTAAATTGAGCAGGGAGCATTTGAATTCGCCTTTAGAAGTAATTATAAAGTTAAGTACTTTTTGCATTAAAAAATATTAATTATTCTTTGGGGTCTTCTCAGAGACATGGCTCGCATAATTAATGTACTAAGAACTAGATCAATTATTAAATCGGTCAAAATAGTAGGTCAAGGGTTAGTGGATCAGACTGAAGTTAGCCCGAAAGTCAAACAAGTGAAAATAAAAAAAAGTTTTAAATTTTTATCATACCATCTAAGGAGTAGATATTAACTTATTACCTTGAATTACAAACAAAAAAATTATAGACTTACAATTTATTTGACAAATTAACATCATAGGGGAATATCATATAAAAACAAATCACTATACATTAATCCAGTGACCCTAGCAAACTATTAAAATGGATACATGATAGCAAAATATTCCTACTTACAAGCTATTAAACACTAAACTGCTGGTAAGAAAAAATCTATTAAACACTAAACTAATAATTATCAATAGCTTAAGAGAGAAGAAAAGGTTTTTGGCTCAAAATATTTTTTTTTTGAAGAAAAAGGCAACCAGGTTAACCCACCAGCCCAGGCGGGTTAGCCAGGTTGATCCAAGGTTGGTCTGGTTTACACTGGGTCATCTGGGTAATTTAACCCCAATATGTATGGTCAACCGGATCAGTTACCTGGTCAGTTCATCAATTTTCGGGTTGAACTGACTAGACCAGTATCATAAAGATAATCGATTATTACTAGTCGCTAGTACTGTTCCTTGGCTCTTGGTCCCTTTCTCTCTAGAAATTCTCACACTACCGAGAGTGTATTTAGGATCACGTTTGGGGCCCAAACATGCATCCCAATTGACAAAAGCTTATTTTTTTTGTTAAAAGCAATGTTTGGTTTAACTATTTGGCAGTCTGGCTTTTATGTTCAAATGAGTTTTTGGAAAGAAGCTCTTACATCTTACATTTTACAATGGAAAAGTAACAATACAGTGAATGTAAGGTCAGCACTTTTTTTTCTTATTGGCTTTGCTAATATAGAGGGTATATAATACAAATTGCTAATTCTTCAACTCTTATATTTGATTATATACCAACACATAAAATATATTTAATTAAATATCTTGGTATTTTTCAATTTATTTCCAATAATAAATTAATTTTTTTTGTTTTAATAATTTTATTTTCATTTTTTTTACAACTGTCACATTATATACATATAATATTAAATAAAAAATTTATGTCATTTTCAATCATTTCACATCTAAACTTATATCCAAACAAATTTTAATTTCTCCAATTGATTTTTTTTACAAAAAAACAAGCCAAAACATAAATCATATTATACTCCATAACTTTGTGGTAAACATATACCATCTGACTTTTATCCCAACTTCAATTTGTAGAAGTTAGATTAATAAAAAATCACTTCTGTCACTGCTAATCCAAACACATGCTCACATTTTCACTGCCTAGCGTTCATTGGTTCACGGTAAGCACCAGTGAGATTAACAGCCAGCGAGAAAGCAATTGCAATTCTTCGCCGTCTAATTCCTTCACAAGATCACGACAAGTAGATATTTTTGGCCCAATGCATATTTTGGAAAGACGAAAAATTCTTCCAAAATCACTCAAATTTCAGCTGAACATATACAACCTCACTATATATAAAAATATATACACACACACACACACTAATATCATAAAACATTCTTCAACATGCTTGATTTGATCTGTCAAACTTGGACCCCAATTCTCTGAGCTACCTGCATCAGCAGAAATATTACAGTCACTAAAGTATTACACCCAACAAATAGCATACAAACCTATGTGAGCTGGAGATGCTAACATACCTCCCCGAAGGAATGAACGTCACTTCCCCAAAGCCAAGCATCACAGCCTGCATCTCTAGCGCCCCATATATCATTTCTACGATCATCCCCAACATGAACAGCGTCCTCAGGTTTTACACCCAACAGCTCACATGCTTTAAGAAATATGGTTGGATTCGGCTTCTCTGCCTCAACCTGTTTGACAAAGCCACATCCACCCATCATCACATAGAAATTGAGAAATCATAAATATGTAGTATAAAGGAGTGGGTGAGCGCATAACAAAAATTTTATGCCCACAAGTGTCTTGCAAAAAATATCCTCTGCATCGATCTCCTTGGATATTCTTCAGAGCTCATGCTTTGAACACAGAAGTGGAGTTTTGAATTTCCTAGGATGCCTCTGGTGGAGAAGAGGTTCGAAACTATTTTTTCCTTTCTTTTGTCCTTTTTTTTGGGGGGGGGGGGGGCAGGTGCTGGAGTGAATGAGTGATGACACTTGACCACAGACTTTGAAGATTTAAGGGCTTGAAGGTGTAGATAGTCTGGGATTGTGATTTCCTACAGTTTCCCCACCTTCCAACTCGTGCACAACATAGAGACTTAGGAGGCCTCAACTTCCATAGCTCTCTTGGGTTTTTCTTCATTCCAATCAAGAGGTAAATGCATGTGACTCCCTTTAGTTCAATGAGCATAATCAGAGTTGATATATTACACTTAGGGAAAAAAAAGGTCAAAAAAAGAAGGAAGGAAATGGAGGTGGGACAGGTGTGTCACAGACCAAAACAAACCCAGAACTTATTTCCCCAAGCCTTCTGACAAATCATGTGAGAAAAGACTGGACAAAGAATCACAGAATGGGGAATTTAAGGGTAGTCAGATCAGGTTAGCACAAGCACATTACATCAGGCCCAGACACAGCTAAGAGTAGAGGGACAAGATTACAAGAAGGCAGGAATTAGCACCGCACTGAGGCGACCTCGTTTGAAGGATCAAGCGGCAAGACGCAAGACAAAGAATTACTGGAATTCAATGCCAACATATCTTTTTTGAAAGTCCAAGATACTCTGGATTGTTTATGACGATCAATAAAAATGCAAGCAGTCGTGAGATAAACAAGGGGGCGGGAGAATCTGCTTCCAGCACAAACTAATTCAACAATAAAGTAACGAAACTTATGCTACCTCGGCTGATACTGCTACTGCGTCAAACCAGTCATCACAGTTCAACGCCTTCAGTAGAGGTCTTAATCTAGTGTCAAAATTTGACACAACAGCCAGCTTTACACCAGCTTTCCTAATTGCTTTGAACACTTTTTCAGCCTCAGGATCACAGAGGTGCCATGCCTATGAATGATAGGTAGGAAAACATATCAAAAAACTGCTACCTAAAGGTTGCAAAAAATCACAATATATATATCAATGGTTTTCAAAAGATCTGACCTTATCTGTCATATAGTAGTTATAAAGTTCTTCAAAGTACTGAGAATCTGAACAGCCTGTGGAAAAACTAACTATGTATTGCCAGAAGGGCCTGCCGTCATTAACATATCTGCAATTGAGAAAGAATCAGAGTCTCAGACAAAACCTAAGACGATAGTTGATTGATTGTCTATAAGGTTGAATGCTTTAGTCACAGTTCCAGCTGCAATTAATGTAAGTTACAAGAAAAGACAAAATTTTATCCTCGGTCAAACCCTAAATTCACCTCACAGTTACCCTTTTACAAGTCGAAAACCAACCAGCGGCGTGTAGGCCACTACTTTCTAAAGCCCACAGTAAAAGCGAGTTACTGCATTATATGCCAGGGAATATAGTGTTCGTTTGTGTTATCAAAACTATGTTCTTCAGGTGGATGATATGGACTGGTATCTTATGTTTGAGCCCTCGGGATTCAGAGAAAGAAAATTTACTGTTCACTAAAAGGCCTGTTGGATATTGTGCCGGTATTTTTAAAGCAGAGACGCGGCAGGGTGGAAAAGGTAACTAAAGGACATAAAAGCTGCCTATTGGTGTTGCAAGTGCTTAATCGCTAGTCTTGGTTATTTCCGTTCCCTGATAAAAGGAGTTTGGGCGGATACAAAAACTTCTGCCATTACAAGTTTGTCATTTCTCATAAATCATAACAGTCCTCTTCTTCAAGATTACATGATCTTAAATTTTTATAAGAAGAAGCAACCAAGAAGGACCTCGCAGTGGAGCCATAATATAAAAATTTTAATGCTAAGTTATGAAGCACAACTCAAACTGTTAGGCGAAATTCTCCCCCCCCCCCTCCCGACCCAAAAAGATCTAAATTTGAAAAATGCGGGAAGACTGTGCAAGTCACCCCCATGCCTCCTAATAAAAAGGAACAAATAATGGGCAGAGAAATGTTGGGGACCAAACAGACCATAAGAAATTCATTCTGCAAAACCAGTTCGCAATAAATGACCAAATTTTGGACAGTAATGTTAGTTAATATGAACATGTCAATTAATACACGTAATAAAACCCGAGGGGGTAAAACCCAAAATCAGATTTTCAACTCACAAAAATGATACGCACCTGAGCCGAGATCTACCCCAAGGCTGCCCATAAGCTCTTCTGTATCGGTGTAAAATCTCATCCTCCGAGTATTCAACCCCATACTTCTCCCCAATCTTTCTATATATCTACAATGCAACAACCGAATGAATTCATTTGCAATCAGAATCGAAGCACATGGGTGGGCAATGAAGAAGAAAGTAGTAGCCGCACCAAATTTGAAAAATCACCGAATAAACTCAGAAAAGAATAGGCACAGCCCAGAAATGCATGCGTCGGAAGACACATGAAAGAGTAAACCAACCTCGGCCATGGGTTGAGAGGGAACAACAAGAGTGCCAACAGCATCAACAAGCACAGCCTTGTGAGTGATGTCACCGTAGCGGGACTTCCTGTAATCCTCATAATCCTTCACTCCGAACGCTTCCAACCCCATGCGTCGCGAACCCATCGTCTCTGATTCCTCAGCAGCCAGAGCGGCGGAGGTGTAAGAAGACGATAACTTCTGAAGCGCGCCTAATTGGTGGAAACAGCCAGACCCTGATCTTGAATTGGGCGTTCGAGTAGAGAGAGCGGGAAGAACTCTCGCGAGCTTCGTTCTAGTAGCCATTAGAGCCATGATTTCATCACATTTGAGACGCTAACTCCGTGTGATTGTCGTGATTTTGTTATGAATATCTCATGCTTCGTTGGGAACTCCAGGCCAAGTTATAGCCCGAGAACGACTCGAAAGGCTTGAGAATCTGAGAAGAGAAGTCGCCCCACACTGGAAATGATCCGGGACTTGAACGGTATTTAAGAAATTTACAAGGCCGGCCCTGAGGAACGGGTCAAAATTGCGTGAAAATTATGTGGATCACCGGTTCATCAGACATTGATGCTGGATGTGTGTGGTCCTGTGATGTGATAAAAGGCGGATACTTTTCTCCGTTTTTAAAATTAAAAAAAAAACATTTTATGTGGCGATGAATAATATGACAATATGCCCAAATGGCTTTTCTCATTTCTGAATTTATATTTAAACTTTATAGTTTATAGTCAGAATAATTTTTTTTGCCAACAAAAATTTGTAACGGCTAATTCAATTCCATAGCTTGGCAAAAAAAAAAAGAAGCCCGAATTCCATGTTTTTAGATACTTTTAATAGTACAGTTTTTATTAATCCATTTCTTTAAATGAGCATTTTCAATTTTTGAAATTACATGGATTTTGAGAATAAGAATCGCGTTAACAAATAATAAGCGAATAATGAAATAATATTACTGATACGTTCTAGTTTTTATGGGACTTTTTCCAGCCAACGTCATATATTGGGAATTTGGGAAATTATAGTAGTGTGTGTATATATGTATATATCATAAAAATGGATTATATTTATGTTTTTATTGATTGTGGTGGGAATTAATGCATCAAGAAATTTCCTAGACGCGCATGATTGCAAGAATGGACATTTGGTTCAGGTCAAAAAAATAAATGGACATTTGGTAACTACCCACATGAATGATTTTTCAAAAATAATAATAACAATAATAATAACAACCACGAAACTAGGGCTGAGCAATGGGTGGGGTGAGCTAACCCGAAAGTTAGCCCATAGCCCGCCCATTTATGAATAAATGGGCATGGGTTAACCTATAACCCCGTAGTAACCCATTTAGCCCGTATTAAATGGGCTACGGGACAGCCCATTTGGTTTGATCGGGTTACGGGGTAATCTATTTATTTTTTTTATTTTTTTTCAATATAGCTATTTTGTATATGTAATCTTGTAAAGCTGTCAATAAATTTTGCATGCCAAATAGCAAATCAAATATGAATAACATCAACCATATTTAATCACACAATCTCACTTAGATTCGCAAACAATCAAAGTCTGATAAAATCATAAAAGCAGTTACCAATCATAAAGTCTCAAACTTTGAAAGTTCCAACTTTCACCTAAACGATAAAATAAAAGCTTAGACAAGCATAAATGTTTGATAAAAAATGAATGAGAAACAATATCATCAATTAAATGAAGAATAAAAATATTTTTAAAAAATTAAAACTTAAACGGGCGGGTATGGGCAGCCCAATACCTTACCCATAGCCCAACCCGTTTAATGGGTTACCCCGCCCATTTAAACCCGCCCGTATATAACCTCTTATTTGGGCTAATTAGGCGGGCTTAAATGGGTAAAAATTTCATGGGTTATGAGCGGACTAGTGGGTAATGGGTTTGTTACTCACCCCTACACAAAACCATACGAATGACTGTTTATCAGGGGGAAGCGGTGTGACGTCATCAATAATGGGGGAAGCGGAAGAGGGGAAGAAGGCGGTGGAGAGAGCGCAAATAAGGAGAGTGTCGTGGACAATAATGGAAGGAAGATAAAGTACGGAAAAGTTGAGGTGGCAGCAAGCGAGGTGGTTATGAGTCCAGGTCAGCATGGATCACATCGACAGGTGGGGGCCACCATGGTCCCGATCTCGGAATGCGTCCTCAATTGCTCAGCACCATCAGCTTGCTTTGGCTTTATCCTCCGCCAGCCGTACTCCATCGCCAATTTCAAACCCTTTGTTTGATGAGTGCGAGGGTCTCTACCCCACGCCACGTCTGATTTTAGATTTTTAATTGTTCCCCCTACTTTTTCGTATATTTACTTTATTACCCATCGTTCTCAGTCATTTTCATTCTGGTCATTGATTATCAGGTTTGGTGGTTCCTTTTAAGCTGTCATTATATCCCTCCAATTGCGATTAATTTACTATAGCATATTTTGACTTTTACAGTCCCCACGTGGCGGAGCGCAGGAGCATAAAGCCGACAGCTCCCATGCGTTCGGAAATATTTTATTGTGTTTTAAAATTTAAGTCATGCATAATTAATCTCCATGAGTAATAAGGTGTGATTTTAATGATGGGGCAAGAGCGGTGTCAATGCAGGTCCTATGAGTAAAAATTGACTTATTGGGGAGGATTGATTTCTTAGGTTTTTTTAATCATTCAAGCATTAGAACGCGCGCGTATGCGATAGTTTCACTTTAATTGTTTGATGTACAATAAATAAAATTCAAGTTAATTGGTAATTACATTGGGAAATTTGACCGTCTCTCTCTCTCTATACTATGAACTACTCCTTCATTAATGGACACTCTCTGTGAAAACTTAATTAGTTACCCCCTCTCTTGATCCATATATAATACTACCTCCGGTAATAATTATAAAATATAATTAGGACCGGAGGTGGCAAGATATTAGTTAAATTTTCTCAGGAGCTTGAGAGATGTTAATTAAATCACTAAACATATTTTAAATTGATAAAAGTTATTTATTCCGTCTTTATTAAATAATGAAAACTCTCTCCTCCTCCTTACAATAATGGGTAAAAATTAAAAAATATCATTAATTATTCTATTGACTTCTTGTATTTTTGATCAAGATTCCCCCCCCCCACACCCCAAAGAATGCCTCTTGAAGCGGAGTGATGAGTACTTTATTAAAATGCTTATCAAGTAGCACTAACCAGAAAGGAAAGGCGTCTGTTTTTGGGTTTAAAAGACGAAGAGATAAGCATGGGAAAAGTATAGTTGCGTGGTAATCCAAAACACGGGCACCAATCTCCAAGTTCAAAGCCTTGCCTCGCTGTCATGGAAAAACATGCATTAGAGGGAGTGGTTTACAAATTTTTGCCATAAATATGTATATATGGAGTTTGATTTATCTCGAGAAGAAGAAGAAGGACCAAGCTTTTAGTTTCTTGAGTTTTGTCAAGGGAGTGGGCATTTAATGGGAACGAGGAGAGTGCAATAAAATGGATTGATAATTGATTGATGGACGACCAATCTGAAATTAATTAAAGATGAGAATAGTAATATATGGCTCTCAAACTAAAAACATATAAAATTGTCAGAGCATGTGGTGTTGATTTTCCTAATTATAAAATTTTATTTATTAAACTACAAACAAAAATAGTATTTGATTTGATTAGCATATATGGTGGGTCCACTCCTTAGGAAATCATGCCTTTCTCCTTTTTTTAAAATACTCAGATCTCCTATTTATGAGAATTTTTGACATCCCTCAGTTGTCAGCAACACCCTAATCACGCTTCTTCCAACCCTTGAAAATAATAATTATAGGCGAAAAAAATTTCTTCCACTTAATTTTTCTTCTTTTAAAAAAGAAAATGATTTTTTTGGGTTTGTAAAAGTGTTAGAATTAATTTTATTCCTCCAACTTTCATGGACAAAAATGGATTAGATTCCAGATCCGTTATCGGCCGACACTGCGTAGCTTATCGTTAGAAGAAAAATCGTTTTTTTTTCTTTTTTAAAAGGGAATCTGGCACTGCAGTTGCATCAATGCATGTTTCATAAATCCCAATTTATTTAGAACACATTAATTTAATATACTACCTCTGATTTTAACTATAAGATTTTATTTATAAAATATAAATAAAGTCTTATAAATAAAATAGAAAGTAGTATTTTTTTTAATACTTTTAAGTGATTAAAAAAGCGAGATCCCCACTGCAGCAAAGTAAGATTCCCCGACCCCCGGTCCCCATATAAGACAGTCAAAGAAAAGAAAAGACGTGCTTTTTTTTTTGGTAATCTAAGGCGAGTGACCCACGATCTCCCGGTATCCAGTACTTTTTCTGAGTTCTTGGCCTTTTAAACTGGACCAGGTAACCCGGGACAACTGACTAATCCCGAGCGGGGTTGATTTAGGCACGCCCATTTAAGGTGCTTTGCACCAAAGGCGGTAAAACCCTCCCAACAAGGGCGGCTTCAGGTTCGAACCTTTGTCTGCCTGGATTGTGTCAGGTGCCTTTACCACTGCCTTTACCACTGCACCCAACGCTTGTGGGTAGAAAAGACGTGCTTTGCTGTGTTAAGAGCCACGTGTTGCTACCCCACCAAAGACCCCTCTAGTTTTCTGGCGAATAAAAGACACGAGAACATGCGTGTCTGGTCCATCGCCATTTTTAAGTTTATAGCTTCCCTAAAGATGCAGCTTTTCATTCTTCCATAGGACTCATTAATCACTAATATACACACACATACAGAGAGAGAGAGCTGTTAGGAACAGGTTGGAGCTAAGCTTGAAAGAAAATGGAAGGAAAAACATTCCGTGGAGCTAAGCATGAGAGGTGAGGTGGAGTACGTCATATTTTAATTCGAAACCTATTCATGTTTAGTTACTTGAAAATAAGTATCAGGCATCAGCACTAGGATTATCTGAGCCCTTGCTCGGAGTGATTTTTCAAAAGTAGCTTTTTAATGGTAATTTACATGTCAAAATAAGTACGTGAAATGAGTTTTATCTCCAATTACGTAAATAACTGTTTTTACTGTTTGGAGTGTGGGATAAGTACTGATACTAGCCCTGATTTAAAATTAAATTCCACGTAAATGGTTTAAGGTTACTCTTTATTGGTATAATCCCCTTACAAGAGTAAATTACAAAAGATGTAAATATATGCATCTAGTTGGAATGTTTACTTCCATTTTAAATATAATACATGAATGAATTTGTTTTGCCACTCAAAATTAAATTTTTTGTTTTTCGTCTATTAAATAATGGGTGAAGAAAATATTTTGAATAAATTAATACATATTTATGATAAATAATTAATTTAACTAATTTTTCAAATATTTTTATATTAGTTATAACTTTTTAGGTGTATTAAGAAATGAAAGTAATATTACCTAAAACATATAAAAAATTTTAGTCCAAATTTAAAAATGACATGCATGATAAAATTTATAATCCATACGACAAGTCGTTTTATAATTTTCTTCCACCTAT